ATATAATTAATTGCAATTCTAAAAAATATTTAGCACAAATTAATAAAATAATCAACATCAATTCACATAAAATTTTTAAATTTTAATAAACAAAAATTAATTTCCTTATGTAAATAGAATTCAACTTGTAATAAAATTAAAACAAACAAATTCCAAACAACAATAAAAAAAAAAATTAAGTGGACAGCCACATTCCTAAAACTGGGAAGGATCTGATAATCTTATCCTAAGGTCTTATCTAACTTGTAATTAACACTAGGTAGGGGAACTCCAGTTTTTGTGATGTCCTTTACGAGTGGAGACCCTATAGAGCCCAGCTGTCCTTTTTGCACCCAATTATTACTCTCTATGTGGTGACCAAACGTCTTTAAATTTTTTTGTCATCTTTAAGTTATTGAACATCAGCTTGGTCCAAACCATATCAAGGAGAACCAACGAGATTAGGGTAACCAAGAGTCTCTCTTAGAACTTTGGAATATATGACTCATCTTCCTTTATCCCCCTATCCCAGGACATTTCCTGAATCTTTTCATTCACATGAATGAAATGATTTACGAGTTGCACCAACTCATCCTCTGTGTCTTTTAATATCAATGTGTGACTTTGTAGAGTTCTAATAATGTTCATAACCTTTTCCTTTTGAGCGGGTGTTCTAGCAACCATTGCACGTCTATAACGTAACATTTTTCTGTAACAAATACAAAAAAAAACTATTTATTTATCAAATAAAGGTTGACTATATTTGATAAATAATATATATATGTGTTTATGACTTAATAACAAAAATTAGACTCATAACAACATACCAAGTATGCATTTTATTCTTTGCAGCAAAAGAAAACAAATTTAGAATACTTCACACGCCGCCCAGAAGCGGCCACGCGCCCTCACGCGTCGGCAGGAGCTTCCACGTGCCGGCAGGGCACTCCAAGCGCCTTACAAGGGTTCGGGTCGGTTCGACCCGTTTCACATTTAACCGGGTCAATTTTGACCCGTTGACTTGTTTGACTTCGTGGGTCAGGTGTTGACTGGGTTTGACTGACCCGTTTGGTCTTACGGGTCAGGGGTTGACTGGATTTGACTGACCCGTTTAATGTACTGGGTCGGGTTTGCGGGTCAACTTGACCCATTTTTATTTTGGTTTTGGGTTGGGCCGGAAATGAGTATAGCTTAATTTGTAAATATGGCTAACACAATTGAAACATGTAGCCTAGTGGTTAGTGAGTTGGGTTGAAAATGTGTAGACTTGGGTTCAACTCTCACCACCCACACAGTTTGCACGTTTTTCATTAAAAAAGAAGTAAAAAAACGACATGTCATATGTAAGGTTGGAATCAAAACGACATGTCGGTCATTGTCGTCTTAAACCTCTAACTGGGTACCCGACCCGGAAATCAACTCATACGAAACCTGAAACTTTAAAGAGGCATATCTAAGTCATTTTAACTCCATTTTTTATGATTCAAAAGTCATTTTCTTCATAATTTCATAAAGAATCTAATAGTCTCATTATCATTACCAAAAAGACAACTTTTTACGTACAAAATTTGAAAAATTTAGAACTGCATTTGATAAACCAGTAACATGCTTTAACATAACAGTATGAATTTAAAACAATATGAACCATGGCTTTGATACCAATATTGGAAATAACACAGAATAACATATATCCTAAAGTAATCCTAAGATCATAGTCACCCATTGCAATCATATTTGTATATAAACGAACTACAATGAATTTACACAGCATAAATACCTCTTCTCCTTATCTCTGAAGCAAAAAATTGAACCTGGAAGAATCAATTGCATGGAGTATCTCAAAGTCCAAAATAAATTTTTGAATTAACAAAAATCCTTATAAATTTTCCTTAATAATTGAGTTGATTTGGAGTAAATCCATTGGGTTTCTAATGGATTTGAATTACCCACTTATCAATTAATTATTTTATTAAATTAATAATTTCACATTAAATTCAAAAATAATAAGTATTGTCGGATTACTTTATTTCAATAACTGACACCTCTTTCTCCATATCTCTTTATTAAAATTGATAATTGGGGTGTCCGAACAAGTTTGTATGTACTTTAACTAATCTCTCATCTTTAGAATTGTAGATTGGGTAAGAGTTTCAGTGACTACCCCTATTAGTGTCTGAGGTGACTCAAATTCTAGAGCTTGTGAAACTTTATTTTGCACTTTTACTATCAAATCACCCAACGATAGTTTATATTTTCTAATTTTTTAGTTTAAATAATCTTAAATGTATATATATAAATATCCACTGGCGACATATGATAAAGCAATTAGATGATTCTTAGCTAAGAAGTTTTAAATCTCCAGTGCAATGACATTTATTTTATTTTAAATCCGTTACTACTTCCATAAAATTATAACATTTACTTATGGAATATAACATAAGCCATCTTTCTTTTCTTTTTTAAATTTGAATGTTGGTTTTATAGAAAGAAGAATTTACGAATAGAATCACTTAACTTAAAATTTTTAATTATATTTATTTATGGAGTATTATCACTTACCTCCCCTGAGGTTTCCATTAATTTTGCACCCATGTGGTATAAGAAACCATTAAATCTCCCTTCACATTTGAATAAATTATCACTTACCTCCCCTCCCCTCACCACCTTTTTCTAACGGCAATTGTTAATTGAGGTTGCAAAAAACCTATTTTGCCCTTATAGCATACAAGAATAGTGATCTAATTTGGTATTACATATTTGACCTTAACATATTTGGTATTTTCCTAAAAATCATAGGGCATGTTTGGCTTATTATTTTTATCCCTATTCCCAACCCTATTCCAGAAATATTATCCTATTTTTTTAATTACTTTTAGACCCCATAAGATTATTAATTTCATCAAATACACCCTGAAAAAAAAGTTTAAAAATTATCAAAAACACCCCCGTGACCCATACTTGCCAGATTCCGGCAGCCACCGTCGGTGGTAGCCGGAATCTGTACAACGGCCTACCTGCCGACCATAAATGGCCGGAAGTTCACTGATCTGGCCGTGAACGACAGCCAAAGATGGCCGTCGTTTTGGCCTTTTTCGGCCGTCGACGGCCACGACAGGCCGTAGATCTGGCCTTTTCCGATCAGATCCGTGGTGGATCTGGCCGAAAAAGGCCATAACGACGCGTTACGACACAGATCCGACCGATCATGTTGTAACGCGATTTTCCGACCAGATTCCGGCGGTGGAATTAAAAAATAATCATACCAAACACATTTTCAAATTCAAATCCTATCCTCGTAATTATAATCTAACTCAACTTTTTCAAAAATACTACTTAAAATAATAAAATAAACACACCTATTATTATTTTGTTTTTTCATATTGTCTTGGATTTTTTATCGATTTTGTTACTTTTTTTTTTTCAAGATTTTCAGATTTACTTTTCTTTTTTCCAAATTTGTTTGTTTCAGGTTTTCATATTATTTTACTTTTTAACTTTTTCAGATTTTTCAATTTTCAGATATTTATTTCAATTTTTCAGATTTTGTTTTATTTCAATGTTTTATATTATTTTATTTATTTTAGTTTTTCATATTTTTTATTTCAATATTTCATTTTGTTATATTTATTAATCTTTTAAGACTTTTTAATTTTCATATTTTTTGTTTCGGATTTGTTTGAAAATTTTTAATTCCATTTTTGTGTTAAAAACCTACCATATCAAGTTTTACCCCTTGGCTTACAGTTAGAGATGGCAATGGGCCCGACATTTTCGGGTACCCGGCCCGGCCCGGCCCGAAAGGGGCGGGCTTTACCCGAGGTTGGCGGGCTTGGGCTTGGGCCTGGGCTTGATTTTAAGGCCCGACCTCGGGTACGGGCCGGGCATGGGTATATCTTTAGGCCCGGCCCGGCCCGGCCCGTCTTGAAAATTTTAGTATTAATTTTACTAATTTACCCTTATACTATATATTTAATTACAATATTATCCTNAGATTTTCAGATTTACTTTACTTTTTTCCAAATTTGTTTGTTTCAGGTTTTCATATTATTTTACTTTTTAACTTTTTCAGATTTTTCAATTTTCAGATATTTATTTCAATTTTTCAGATTTTGTTTTATTTCAATGTTTTATATTATTTTATTTATTTTAGTTTTTCATATTTTTTATTTCAATATTTCATTTTATTATATTTATTAATCTTTTCAGATTTTTTAATTTTCATATTTGTTTGAAAATTTTTAATTCCATTTTTGTGTTGAAAACCTACCATATCAAGTTTTACCCTTTGGCTTAACAGTTGACTTGACCCTCATAATAAAGGAGTCAGGGGAGGTAAATGACAATTTATTTAAATGTGAATGGAGGTCTCGGATGATTTCTTCCACCACAGCCACAGAGATGTAACTGGCAATTTATGGAAACATTTGGGGAGGTATTATACTCCTTTATTTAACACCAAAGTCACAAGAGTCTATGAATTATCGAAATTTAATATAAATTTTAGAATTTAAAATTTTAATCTTACATCAAACGCTAGTGAAAATTTAACTTTAAAATGTTAATTTACATGATAAAAGTCTGGGAAAATAAGTTTAATTACTTTAATTTGGTAGAATTTTTTTAGTAATGTTTTGGTCCCTGTTTCATTAACAAATCTCAGGGAACAAATTGTAACTGACCAAACCTTAGGAATGATATTGTGATTATCTCAAGTCTGGGAAAATAACATAGAAGTCCACAGACCAATGCGATAGTTGACCTTCCAGCTGGAACACAAACGTAAGAATAATTAATAACTTAGGTTAACTTCACAGGAGAGAACAAAACAGAAAGCACCACGTGCTTTGTGGGCCCTACTCGTACATGAAATTAGCCGATTAAATTGCCAAAATTGTCGCGCATCTTTTTAAACCTTGCACTCTCGGAGCCAAAACTTCCAAAACAGATTAATAAACTTAAAAAACTAAAATAGTAAAAATAAAAAAATAAAAAATAAACAATAAAATCACTCTGGGCTCTGGCAATCACGAGATCTGTTTGTTTTACATTGTTTAGAATAGATCGGCAGACATTGTAAACCCTCGTTTTCGGTCTCCTTCTTCCATTCAACAACCTGCATTGTTCGGATCCGATCCAAATTTGAATTTGAATTTTAAATCTTCTGGAGGTTGTCAATTTGCGAACGTTGTGATTCTGTGTTGGAAACTCCACGGATCTGATCCTGAACGTTCCTGTATTTGAGATCGGCATTTTTGAAATATAATTTTCTTTTCTCTGAGAAGAATCTTAAAGTTTTGTTGATAATTATTTCTGAGAATTTGATGTTTTGAACAACTGTTTTAAACTTTAGAGCCATTTCGAGGGTTGAATAATTTGTTTGAGATGGATCTATCTTCTATCAGCGAAGAATTAGCCGAGATCGACGGACAAGTCACCGACATTTTCCGTGCTTTATCGTAAGAAATCAAACAAGACAATTTATGTCGCCATTATTATTTTTGTATTACTGAATGTAGTGTTAATGTGTTTTATATTTATTTCAGGAATGGTTTCCAGAAATTGGAGAAGATCAAGGATGCCAATAGACAGAGTAGGCAGTTGGAGGAACTTACAGAGAAGATGCGTGAATGTAAAAGGTATTTCAAATCAATATTTAGTTTACTTAATAATCTACTTCATGTTGCATTGAATAGTTATAACTTGATTATAGGTTTTATTTAAAGACTTGGCAAGGAAATGAAGTAGAAATTAATACTAGATTAGAATGAAGATTGTGACTTCGTTCCCGCACTTTTTATCCTGATTTCAATAATGATACGGATCCAAAATACAATGAGATAGCTGTTTGAATTATGACTTTGGAACGGTTCAAGCTACCGAAGCATTCAGGATACTTTGTAGAAGTATGAGATGCCAGATTAGATCCTAGCCATCTTACAATTGCTTTTTTTCTGAATTATTTCTTCGTAAATTCTGTTTAGTGCATCCAGATAACCACTATCAATTGCTTAAAAAGTTAGCTAGACTTGGTCAGTGCATCGGCTCATGTTTGTTAAACATGCATGATCAAGTCATATCAGTTCGAGGAAGTGATAGGGCAGGGTCAGAGCCAATTTGGTGCTAAAAACTGATGGGCCTGAAACCCCTCACAAGCATTTTTTTTTTTTTTTAATAATTTTTTCAAGGGTTGTGATAATTAATTTAAATTTAAATTTTATTTTCCAGTTCTCTGTTATCTTAGGTGCTTTTCCTATCTTATTCAATTTCTTGAATTCTTGTTTTCTATTATGAGCACATGATAGACAGTAAACATTATAATTATTTTTCCAATATGTTGGTTCTTTTCTAAGTTTAAAGTTCCAAAGAATTTATAGACAAGGGGTACTTCCATGAAATGCCAGTAAATAATATGGTAAAGGGCTTATCTACTGCTGGAACTGAACAATGCCTTGCTGTCATTTCAGGCTTATCAAAGAGTTTGACAGGGAAGTTAAAGAGATGGAGAGTGGAAATGATCCAAACACCAACAAGATGTTGAGTGAGAAAAAACAGTCAATGGTGTGGCCTTTATTTTAAACTTTATTGAGAATTTGATACTTTAAAGTTTTTGTTGACTTACATGTCTAAAGTTTGCTTAATGTTGTTTGTATTTTCCATGTAGGTGAAAGAGTTAAATTCATACGTGGCTCTTAAAAAGCAGTAAGTTGACATATCTTTAATTACAGCAATTTGTTTCATGCACCAAGAGATGGTGTTATGCATGTACAGTCCATAGGTTTTGAATATCATTTAATGCTTTTTTCTCCTATTCTTGTTAATTAGTTTTACAGGTCTCTGTTTCCTATTTGTGATTGTGTGATGGATGGAGAGAGGAAGACTAATTAAAGTTTTAGTTGATTCTATTTTATATCTTTTGGGTGAAATGAACAGGGCTATATTATCTATTGATTGGGGATTATAGTTCTGTTTAAAACCCTATATTATTGCCTTGAGTGCTTTTTTTTTCTTTTCTGCTTTTCCTAAATTTCGTTATTTTCTTTCTGTTGCTGTAATTTTATGGAAGTTTATGGCATTTTTATAATGCTCAAATTTTTATCTAGGAGTTATTTTATTTCGTCAATTTTTTATATAGGTCTTTTTATAATGCTCAAATTTCATTTAGTTGTTTATGAATGGACTTGTTCCTTTTGTCTGCAATTTCTGGTTGGTTGTCATCTCTGCTTCTCTAAATTAGATGATAGAAATTGTCATTGGCTGAAAACTACTGTTATGTTATTAACAATTGTTTGATGAATTAAGAATCTTCTTTTCCTTAATATAAAGAATTTTTTTAATTGAGAAATGTTGATTACTAAAGCAGCTATAGTTTTGTTGTGATTTATGCCAGACATATTTTAATCATTTGTAAATCCGATCTTAATTGTGTCTATTTTCAATTCACTGTTTAATTATCTTCTGATGCCTTACCTTGGACTTGTTTTAACATTCTCATGATGGTTTCCTTCAGACATCAAGCCAATCTTGAAAACAACAAACGAGTTGATCTCTTTGATGGACCTAATGAAGGGTTTGGTGAAGACAATGTCTTGTTAGCTTCATGTAAGCATATAGCATTTTTTTTTTTACATGCACTTTTAATGGTTTTGTCTGCCTAGAGTTTTCAAAATTATTAATGTGAGTTGGAGATGCCGGTGGTAGGGGTGACAAGAACAGACACTCATTGTTTTAATCCATAATTTGTCAAGGGCTTTGGCATTAAACACACATGCACCTGATTGCTGAGACACCTGTATTCTTTTCATGTGTTCTAAAATCATTACAACATTCTGCATTGTTGTTACTCTACAAACTGTTGCGTTTTTCTGTAAATCCATATAAAAAAATGCATGATTTTGTAGTCGCTGCAAATCATGTAATTGATCTTTGACTTGTTTGCAGCAAATTTCATTATAGGTTTCATGTCTTAATTCTTATTGAAGTGTTTCTGAGGCAGAGACTATACATTTTGCAGCTATGTCAAATCAACAGCTAATAGATAATGGAAACCGGATGATGGACGAGACTGATGAAGTTATTGAGAGGTCAAAAAAGGTTAGTTTATGTTCAAGGAAGATAATATTCACCACATGGTAGAATTTGTCACATATTCAGCATGGTTTGGGAGAAGTAACTGCTTTCCATGATTATCCGTTATCATCTCTTTTAAGAAACCGATGGGCTGTTTAGGCTCAGCGTTTTTGAAATGCCTTAACACAGTTCGGTTTGGTTTATTTTTCCTATAACATATGTCAAATATGAATCAATTATGACTTTAAACATTGATGGACTCCACTAGTTTGAAATGTTACCTCATCTCTAAGGGTAATCTCAATTCATTGAGAAAACTTTGGTTCATATTGGTAGGGGTGCGTAAAAAAAAACACCGAAAACCGAACTGAACCGAACCGAACCGAAAAATAGGTTTTCTTGAAAACCGGTTTGGTTGCGGCTCGTAAAATTGGCTGAACCGGTTTTTTGGTTTGGTTATCGGTTCAACCAATTGTGGAAACTGGTTTTAAAAACCGGTCTTTAACTAATATATTATATATGATGTGTGGCTATGATGCGGATGTACAATCCAAGACAAACTTGCGTCACACCAAATCAAATCCTCCTTTTCCAAGATGTGCAGCTGAGATCTTCCCTCAAAACTCCCCTAGGTTTATATTTAAAGCTGCCAGGGTTTTCAAGTTCTCTTTAGCCTCCTGCCTCTGTTTAGTTACTTTCCTTCCATTGCTCTGTGTCCTCTGTGTTTAGTTATGGCTTTGAGTCTGTTTTGTGTTACGTTAAGATAATCTGCTTAGGGCCTCTAGCATTTACGTTTAATTTATATATTCTTCGTTTTTTTTGGTTGTATATCTGTTGAGTTTGTGTTGTGTTTAAACTTTAATGAGAAGGGGAGTATCGAAGGAAATGGCATAGGATTTTAGCCTTTTTAACAGATCCTTTTCTTACATAAACTTCAGTTTACGAACTGGGTCACCTTCCGGGCAAACTTGTTTGGTTTCTCAGCAGGTGGCATCATTCGGTGCCTACGCTTTTTTGTTTTGGTTTTCAAGATTGTATCTTTGTAATGTTTAGATTCAGATTTGGGTCTTTTTGTTTTTTGATACCAGAATATGAATGACAAAGAACTCAAACCAACCATAAACATTGGATGAAACTTGAAGAAAGGATTTTGATTACTTGTGATTGAGTTTCAACTTGAAGAAGGGAAAAATTAGAAATTTTTTGTTTTTTTAAAATTGGTTGAAACCGGTTAACCAGTTTTCTGAACCAGATATTCGGTTCGGTTTAAACAGTAATTCGGTCTGGTTTCGGTTTTGGTTTGGATTCTTACTTGAACCAGTTTTCCAGTTCGGTTTGAAAAATGCCCAAACCTGTTCAGTTAACCGGTTTTTCATGCCCCTACATATTGGGGATATAGACATTTATGTCTTTGTGTAAAGTAGCTACTACCCCCCTCAGGGTTTTTGTTCCCTATGGTTTCTTGATCGACTTTTGTAGCTTTATTTCAAATTCATTATTAATACAAATTCTGTAGTTTCTTACTAAAAGGAAAAAATCAATTCACTGATCAACTACTTGGCACAATGCATTTATTTCTTTCTTATTTTCAAGTTTTATGATAAAGTTAGGAGTGTTGAATCTAAAACTTTCTACACCAACAATTTGGCTGAGGATTTGGCCCATGCCTATATCAGTTGAATGGTCCATGATGTTTAAGATTATTATGTTATTGGATAGGCCTATTGAAAGATTCATTTAGGGGGCATCTTCTTTAATTCATTCCCTGACAGTTAGAATGACTTCACCATAAAGTTGTTTGCTTTAGAGACATGGACGGCAAATCTGAACTGATTGCTGACCTAGCAGTGTTCTAGTATTGTTTTAATCCTCTTTATTTTTTCTTCTTTCCTTTTTTAAATTTACTTTTTGGGGGTAAACCATAAGCTGTGATATTTTTGCCCTTTGCTTACACATAAGTTTTCTCCATTGTTTTAATGCACATTATTAATTCTCTATTATATGTTATTATCCTATAGCTGCTGGCTTTTTCTTTGAACTTATTTGAAATGGGGAATCAGTACAGGCCCTTTAACCAGTTTTTATTTTTAATTTTTTGGGAAGAAGGGGATGACGGTGGAAGGAGAGAAAGCATTAAAATTGAATTCTCATTATTTTATGTTTGATTGTTAGCTTTTGTGGTTCACAAAAAAAAAAAAAAAAAAGTAATTATTTTATTTTCCTGTTTCTAATAGGTTGTTCATGACACTGTCAATGTTGGAACAGAGACAGCTGCAGCTCTGAAGGCTCAGGTATCAATTTGACAGCATTAAATAGAGTTTGATACTAATTGACTTTGTTACATCTTGGGTTTGGTATACCTATTCTCTTGTTTTTCATTTTATAAGGATCTACAGTAGGATTGGGAACTGACATGTTATTAATTTTGTGTTCAGACTGAACAAATGAGTAGGATTGTTAATGAACTAGACTCTATCCATTTCTCAATCAAGAAGGCTTCTCAACTCGTCAAGGAAATTGGTAGGCAGGTCAATCTCTAAATTTATCAGCTTCCTTTTCTTTTATATATGTATAGCTTTGTTTTCATTCATGTGACTTACTGAAACTCATATCATTAGGTTGCTACTGACAAGTGCATAATGGCATTGCTGTTCCTTATTGTCATTGGAGTCATCGCCATCATTATTGTCAAGGTATTTCAATTAATTGTTATATTTTCACCTTGACATGGAGATTTTGTGATAGCCATTCTTTGTGTTGTTTATATGCTTGGTAATTGCAATATTTTCCCGTGATTTTCAGCTTGTTAACCCAAACAACAAGGACATCCGAGATATTCCAGGATTAGCTCCACCTGCCATGAGTCGAAGATTACTTTGGAATCCTAGTTAAAGAGTTAGATATTGACCTCCCATGAGATTGCTGAGGTGATCTGAAACCTGATTGGAACCATTATTAGAGTAGCTTGTGCTGCTATTAGGGGTACCCAGCATTGCAGATTAACAGGAGTGGTGTCTTTGTTGGTAGGTTTTCTGTAGAGAACGGCAGGCTTTCCCATTTGCTTGATCCCTGAATTGTATGGCGGCTTATTGAGAGATTTAATCATATGAGGTGTGGATGGTTAATTTATTTCTTTGTTGGATGGATAACCTCCCCTTTTGAATTGAAGGAACCCTTGAAATTGTGCATTTGAGATTCTATTGGTTCACATATTGTATAATCATCTGTATCATTTGATAATTTGTTTTTATTTGTGAAAATTTATTGTTACTTGTATAATAGCAGTTGTTGTATCTCTTCATAATCTGTTTTCCTTTCGGATATTTGTCTTCCGTTTTACCAATTAATTACTCGTTTTTGTTGCTGTGTTTGAGGGAATAACGATGCTTTGCCTCGGCAGTAGAGTAGAGATGGGCAGAAAATGTTATGTTTGTTTAAAACAATGAATAACCAACACGGGTTGAAACCGACAAAGTTGTTGGGTCCCGGGTTGACTAGTTTAACCAGTTTGATTGGCCGGTCAAACCGGGTGTCAAAAAGTTTAAAATTCAGCAAATTCCCCCATAAAAATTATAGTTAAGTTTTTACTGGTTTGAAATTTAGTAAACATACATCAAATATAAATTGGTGGTTGATTGGTTGGTGGTGGCGATACACTAAATGTAATCTTAATTATTCATTGAGCCAATCTCTTAGAAAATCTACCTAAGATTCGATCGAAATTGATCGATTTCGGTCAGATTTTACCAATGTCGGCGTTGACAACTCAGATTAGATCTCACCACTACCGATCGACAACCCTCTCCATCACTACGAAAATACTCATTTTAGCCTTCTAACCCAAATCCATCTCACTCCACCCCTGTTCGCCTCGTCAATTGTTGACAAAAGCTGTCAGTTTTTTTCAATTTTCAGTCGATTCACTCACTAGAAATCACCTCCATCACCATCATTGCACTCACTAGCCCTTCCACTTCAAAAGCTCCAATATCCCCACCTTCAATTGTTCGCCGATCATTATCTCAATTTCTAGGGTTTTGGATGAACATGAAAATTGGTAACCCGGTCCGGTGAAAGCCTCGGGCCCCAGTTGAACTAGCTCAATCAATCGGGTGGGCCAGGCTGGGTTTTAAAAGACTGGTTTAAACTTGCTTGTGCAGTAGCGTTGGCAGCTTCCATAGTCAAGTAAATGACCTTAAGAAAAGGGTAGAAATTAACAGGCACATCCACATGGACCATCAATTTCTAGAAGAGCACTATTTGTTGTCAAATGATAGATGTCTTGACCAGGAGGACCATGGCCTTCATTGTCTCTGCTTTTGTTAACCATTTTAGAACTGTGGAATGTGTCCAAAAATTCATGGAAATATCATAATTAATTTATTAATAAATACTTAACAATTCTTCTTTCCCATTCCTCTTTTATTTGAAATTGGTGAATACGACTTTCAGTTGCCAATTGCTTTTAATCAAAATCAAACACGGTTTTATAAGTAAGACTTGAAAAGATATGATTTGATTGACTTGTTAGATGATGTGTAGTTGGGTCAAAGAGTCTAATTACTATTGGTTTGGCATTGGTAATGAACGTTAGATTTATGATTTATCATCATTTTGTTTTACAAATTTAACCTATTGACCCTAGATAACAAGTGTTGGTTGTTTGTGGGAAAATTATAAATAATTAGACCAAAGTTACATTATATGAACGGATGAAAATCTATTATCCACGTTTCTAAGTCTAGTTGAAAATTTCCAATTTAATTTGGAAAGAGAGTAGGGATTTGCATGTGATGGAGGTAAGTACAAAGTTTACTTTTCTAGGTGGGATAATTATCACAGACTTTTTATGATATTCATAATGAAGGCAATCAGGAAAATTTCTTGGAAATTCAGATTCCGTCGCACAGAAAATTAGAAATCGATATTAATGATGAGTGAGTCACATTTTCCCACCGAAGGTTTGCCATAATTACATTTTCCCAACCGTGAATTTTGAAAAAAAAAAAAAAAAAAAAGCAATTTCTCACCCTTTGTTGAGATACATTGATGAGATGTATTAATGGCATGGTACACTCGTTGTAAAAAAGAAAATACTTTTTATTATTTAACTTATAACTTTTTTAATGATTTATTGTTGTGTCAAGATAGTCAATTACCTATATATCTACTCTTTAAATATGCAATTATTGATATGTCCTCAACCGTGTATAGGGACATAAATTACCAATTCATCCCTCTAGTTATTTATTAAAGTAATGTTTTAAAATAATGAAGTTACCGTTGAGCTTTTAATGTGTAATAGTAACAAAAGCTTTTAAAATTTGAAACCTTTAAAAATTCACTCCCTTTTGCACACAAATTTGAATATATGTGGATATTATCGATTTTGGGTGCCTTATCATGAAGAAATAGCTACATTGGTTAGAACCAGACTTGTGAACAACAAGAAGAAGATGAGCAACTAGCATTAAATCTTGGAAATTCTATCAAGGCAAGAGTATTCGCAAGACATAGAAGTTGCTAAACAAGAAATTGTAAAAACTGAAACTATAACGTTGGAAGCATTTGAGTGTCTGGAAGGGAGGGTTAAGGAGCTGGAAAAAAAAAAACCCTTGGGATTACTGGTTTGCTTGACCTATTAACATGATTAAGAATAATGTTAGGGAACCTTATAATGAATTTGACATGAACACTAGATTGTTTAAAATGAAGCTTGTGATAAGCACGACCTCTGACTTGAAGAAGGCATTAAACCCTTACGGAACAGTCCATTTGTGTTGTGAGGTTGTTGAACATTGTTTTGACTCGAAGAAGATGCATTCCTGGAAGAAGTTGCAAACCAAGCCCTTGAAGATGTTGTAGTCATTATTGGTACAAATGTTCTCTACAAAATAAAAAAATTGGAAACGATATTAGTTAGATAATAAACAAAATTAAAATTGATAAAATGAAGAAATTAATAATACCTTATGTTTTTTCTTTTTATTTGCATTAGCTGGATTATCCTTACAAGATCTCTTGTTATTTATGCCCTATGACATTGCAAATACCACACCTAAGCGTAAAAACCTTTTTATTATTTGGTTCTTCAGTTGGATCTTTTTCATTTTTTTTTTAACCTTTGCTGGTCTGCCAGACTTGCTATGCTTGTAATGGTTGAGTGGGTCCGGGTACTTGCCCTTTTTTGAAGGAATCAGAATCGGCCGGTTCCTTTGATTTGGAACCGGAATCGGAACCGACGGTTCCAATTCCTAAAAACTTGGAACCAGAACTTGTGTTACAAGTTCTGGTTTCGGTTCCGAGTACCCAAAAAAATATCAATTACCCCCTATTTAAAAAAAATGACAAATAAACCATTATAAAATTACAATTACACCCCTATCAGTTTTCTGAAATGTCAAATATATTATATTCTTATAAATTAAATCATTCATGCAATCAATTTGCTTTTACTACTAGCTAGCATACATATTATTCATAATAAATGATTTGTTGTAATCAAACATTCATATAACTTACACATATTTGTTCTCATCATTTTCTTTAATGATATTTTCATTGTACCGTCGATATTTAAAAAAAAAAAAAAAAGAGAAATACCCATGAAACTTTTATTCCAAGTTCTAGCAAATGAGGAAAAGAAAACACAGCATTTATGAAAACCCAACTACAAAACTTAGTCAAAAAGCAAATTCAAGTAGGTTGAGCTGCTGCAAGCTTCAGCCGATTCTCACGCATGATCTGTAACTCAGTGAGCAATTTGCTTATAGCTAATAAGTTCTACTTTTACACTGCAAACAGTCAAGCAGATAATATATAAAAAATTGTCATCATCATTATTTCCTCTACTGTACATTAATATCAAATTGTTGTAAAAAATGTTGTGAGATAACACTTCTAACAAACCAAAAAGTAACCCAAATTCTAATTTTTCTTATATATTTATAGGACATGGAAAATATCAAAAAACCCCCATAATTTAATGTTATCTTAATTTAGTCTTGGTTCTCGGTTTCAGTTCCTTTGATTTGGAACCAGAATCAGAACCACACAGTATTTGTTCCAATTTTTTGGAACTGGAACCGACCTTGTTACGGTCGGTTCTAGGTAGGAACCAGAATCGAAACTTAGGTACCCATTGGTTCTGGTTCTACCCAAAAAATTTGCCCACCCTTAGCTTGTATGGTGGCCATATTTATTAATCAGTCACCTTTTGCTAATTGACATTGTCTAGAGCATGATGATCATATGTGCATATGTTTGCATGTACATTGGAAGTCTGATAATCCTATTTTTCCCTATGATTTTGTATTGAATTTCGATAAGATTTAGGATACTTCTCATATAATTTGGGCCATAATTGCTACCTAATTCTATTAATTTGTCTTTGTAGGCCTAAACGATGATTTTTAGCATAAATGATAGTTTTGAGCGTAAATTATGTAACTTGAGCTTGGAAACTCGGAATGACCTGAATTTAGAAGCTTTGGAAAGCTAAGAAAAAGAGCTACAACTTTCATGTTTTGGGTTTTTCCTAATTGTGACTGGACAAGGGTGAAAACTTAGCTTGAAGTCGTGAAAAGTACGCTGGGAACTGAAGAAAAATGTCTTTGGACATGCTTCCGTATTTCTACCATAACTTGAGCTGTAGACCTCAGATTGTGCTGATTCTTAAATGACCAGAAAGATAATTGAAAGGGATACAATTCATATGTTTAACACTTTTCCAGATTAAGACTCTATAATGCTCAAATATGGCCCGAAAGTCCTCGCCGTGGTGAAACCTGTATCAGATGTAAAAATAAGACGACGCGTTTTGGCTTGCTAGGGCTTCATCCTTAAGTGAGAGAGGTATAAATTAGAGCGAAAAGGAAGAGAAAAGAGGCTTGGTTCATCATTTGGAAGGCAGCTCTTTGAAGGAGAAGATTATTGGAGATTTAGGCTTCAAATTAGAGAAGATTTCTCAATCTTTTGCTTGTTTTTCAATGATGAATCTTGATTCAGTTTGTTTTTGTTATTTTATTTCGTTTTTGAGTATGAACTGAGTTGTTTAGCTAGGGTTTGATGTAATCTTGATACAATGATTCAAATTTATATGAATTGATTTACTTTGAGTTTTAATTTCATGATTGAGTGTTTATCTCTTTGCTTAATGACTTTTGGATGCTTGATCATCATTCAAATGTGTGTTGTTCACAATGGGACTGAGAAGTGATTTGTGATTATGCCTCTCGGGATAAATGCCGTAGATTAAGCAAACGCTAGAGATAGGTTTAGCGATCTATGAAAT